CAAACAGTGAAGTTCCTAGTTTAAAAAGTTTTATTTATTTTAATTTTTCAATTACAGTTGAAATTCAATATATTAGTTTCAGGTGTACAGCATAGTGGTTAGGCATTTATGTAACTTACAAAGTGATCCCCCCAAATAAATTGTTTTTAAAAGAAAGCAAATCTTAGAGCGGTATGGATAGTATGATTCCAATTAAGTAAAACACACCATGTATTTGCAATTTGTGCGGCGTGTGTGCAAGCGAACGGCTGTGTTTCCCAGATTTCGAAACACAATTCTATGCCCCACTCACACAAAACTGAGGTTTTCCACACTTTAACAACTGCATACAGCCGTGACAGTTTTACCATATTCGTTTAGAACTGCTTGAGGAACAGCTTTGAAAGTTTTTTCAAGTGAAAGTCTCATAGAAAAATAAAATTTTTCTATCAAAAGTGAGATTCTTGTAGTCAAATATTTATTTTATCTCTCTACAATTTGAAGACTATATCTGGCGTGTCTTACCATGGCCTGCAACGCACCCCCCATCCTTTCCGCCTCCTCTCCTACTGTCCCCTCCTTACCTTGGCTCTCGAGCCTTGTGCCCTCGCTGTGCCAAAAATTTTCCCTTAAAGCCTTCACATTTATTTTCCCCTCTGTCTGGAACCCTCTACCTCAAACTTGGCTATGGTTGCTTTCGTAGCATTCAGACCTCAGCCCAAATGTCACCTCTTCAGCAAGGTCTTCCCTGACCACCCTCCAAAAGTAGCTTACTCCAGCCCCCAACAGATCACTCTGTTCATTTTCCCATAACACTCGCTATCTCAGATTATATTGATTATGTATTACTTGTTTATTGCTAATCTCTTCCCTTTAAAGGGCAAACTCTATGAAAGCAGGAACCTTGTCTGTATTGTCATCTTCCATCCCTACTGAATGTTTATGGAATGAAAAGATAGACGACTGGAATATTAGTCAGCACTAAAAAGAAATGAGCTACCAAGCCATGAAAAGACATGGAGGAAAGTTAAATACATATTGCTAAGTGAAAGAAGCCAATCTGAAAAGTCTGTATACTGTATGATTCCAACTATATGACATTTTAGAAAAGGCAAAACTATGAAGACAGTAAAATATCAGTGGTTATCAGGGATTAAAGGTGATATAGGTATGAATAAGTGGAGCAGAGAGGGTTCTTAGGGCAACTCTGCATCTTATAATGGTGGATAATGTCATTTGTTGAAACTCATACAGTATGCAACACCTAGAAGGAACCCTAGAAAAGAAGAATAAAAAAAGAATGAACCCTAAATGTAAACTGTGGACTCTGAGTGATTATGATATGTCAATGTAGACCCTTGGATCGTAATAAATGTACTGCTCTGGTAGGGATGTTGACAAAATATTACAAAATATTAGAATATATCTAGAAAGGTTTGCTTTTCATTAATTCTGAGTCATTAAGAAGCTCTGATGTTTTTGTTTTGTTTTGTTTTTTAGTTTTAGGTGTACAAGACAGTGTAATAGCTAGACATTTACTCTCCTCAAAGTAATAACCCCCTTTCCCCAGTCTACTACCCCTCTGACATGAGCTGTTACAATTCCATTAACTCTAGTCCCTATGCTGTACTCCACATCCTGTGACTATGTATATATTAAATTATAGTTGACATTCAATATTATTCAGTTCAGCTTCAGGTGTACTGCGCAGTAGTCAGGCATCTACACCATCCATGAAGTGGTCTCCCTGATAAGAGATACCACCTTACTCCGGTCAGAATGGCTGTCATCAATAAATCAACAAACAACAAGTGCTGGTGAGGATGTGGAGAAAAGGGAACCCTCATGCACTGCTGTTGGGATTGCAGATTGGTGCAGCCACTATGGAAGTCAGTATGGGAGGTATCTCAAAAAACTGGAAATGGAACTACCTTATGACCCAGCAATTCCACTCTTAAGTATATATCCAGAGAAATCTGGTGTGTTTTTAAAAGAAATACCTTTTTCTTAATATGTCCTCTAGAACATACAGGCTTGAAAATTTCAGACATAAAATCTTTGATGAAAATTTTATTATTTATTCTTGTTTAGTGTTCAGTTTTGACTGGATCTGTTGTGGTTGTTAAACATATTCATAGAGCTAACACCTTGTGGTAAACTTTTAAAATAGATTTTTATCAAAATATATTGGTTTCAGGTGTACACCATAATTATTCAACATTTATATACCTAAAGAAGTGATCACCATAAGTTCAGCCACCATCTGACACTGTACCACGCTGTCACAATATTACTGTTTTCCCCATGCTGTGCATTACACCCCCATGACTTATTTGTTTTTATTTATTTATTTTTTAAGATTTTATTGGGGAATTGGGGGAGGGGAACACACAAGTTGCTGTCTTTTTTTACTTCAGTCTAGTTATGGAGGACATTGCTTCACTGGCCCATGTTGGTATTATCATTGCGCTCTTCCCAGACTGAGGCAGATCAGTCACCAGCCACTGGACGGCTGCTTACACCGGCTCTTGGCAGCTCATGCTGGCTGCCGGCACTCACGCCAGCTGCCAGCCACTCACAGTAGCTTTACGGCAGCCTCACTGCAGCCCCACTGCAGCCTACGCTATCTCCGGCGACTCATAATAGCCAAGCTCCAGGTTGAGCTGTTGTTCACCATGTTAGCTGTAGAGGGCGCAGCGTCACTGGCCCTAATCTGGGATCTGAACCAGGACCCTGCTGCTCAGAGCTGGAGTCCCAAGCCAGCTCTTAACCAACGCGCCACTCAGCCAGCCCATGACTTATTTGTTTTATAGCTGGAACTTTGAACTTATTCTTCTTTACCTTGCCCCCCCTTTTAAATTTCTTTTTAATGTATTTTTTAATTAAAGTTTATTGGGGTGACAGTTGTTAGCAAAGTTACATAGATTTCAGGTGTACAATTCTGTAATACATCATCTATACATTACATTGTGTGTTCACCACCCAGAGTCAGTTCTCCTTCCATCACCATATATTTGATCCCCTTTACCCTCATCTACCACCCCCCTCCCATTGTACTTGACGTTCAATATTATTTTATATTAATTTCAGGTGTATAACATATGATTAGACATTTATATAATTTAAGAAGTGATCCCTTGACTAGTGTAGTACCCACCTGGCACTATACATAGTTATTACCATATTATTGACTATATTCCCTATGTTTTGCTTTACATCCCCATGACTATTTTGTTTGGGGTCAGCCCATTTCACATCTCTGCCCCTCCTACCAGCTTCAGCGTGGTTTCTTCTTTATATCCTTAGTTATACAACTTCTGTTCAGCTAGACTTCATATGGTTCTCCAGGTTGATTGTTCTATAATTTAGATGTAATTTTAATGTATTCATGGAAGGAAGGAGGCACAGTGTTTTTCTACTCTGCCATCTTGGATCTCCTAGAGAAACTTTAAGTAGTCAAAGTATTTCTCCTCAGAACTAATCCAATATAATTTATTTATCTTGTTTGGCTGACTCCAAACCACTAGAACCTAAGTTCCATGAGAACAGTCTTTTTTGTCTGTTTTATTCAATATCATGTTCCCAGTTTCCAGAGCAGTGCCTGACACATAGTAGGTGCTCAATAAATATTTGTTGAAAGAATGAGTGAGCAAATAATTTTTATTCTGTCCACAAGTCCTCAGTGAAGAGGGCAGAAATTTTGGTACAGTAGTCCCCCCTTATGCATGGTTTCACTATCCATGTTTTTAGTACTGTGGTCAACTGTGGTCTGAAAATATTAAATGAAAAATGCCAGAAATAAACAATTCATAAGTTTTAAATTGCATGAGTTGCATGATGAAATTTCACCTGAGCCGTGAATCATCCCTTTGTCTACCATATTCACACTATACACACAGTACAATAAGACATTTTGAGAGAGACCACATTCACATTTTTATCATAGTATATTGTTATAATTGTTCCATTTTATTAGTTATTGTTAATTTCTTTTTGTGCCTAATTTATAAACTTTATCATAGGTATGTATGAATTGGAAAAAACAGTATATATGGGGTTCATAATAAGCATCCAGTGGGGGTCTTGGAATGTATCTCCCACAGAGAAGGGGGGACTACTGTAATTACAAATTCTGATCCACGTGGTTCATATTTATGGGCTATTTGTGTAATCTGTATTCTTGCGGCTGGTTTTCCCGATGTATTTTTTCTGGATGGAGAAGTTGGAGGAGTGAAAAAAATTAAGCAGGAGTGAGGGCCTAGGGTTCTGACCCCACTCTATTGGTGATAATAATAACTAACATTTTTAGTGCATTTGGTTCTCAAAATCTCACTGTGAGGTAGGTGTTATTACCTTCATTTTCACGTAGATAGGCAGGCTTAGAAGGACTCTCCCAGTAACACTCAGGTGGTATTTAGATCAGCCTTGATATAAACCCTGGTCTCACCATGTCAAAGTCCATGTTTATTCCTTTGCACCAGCTGCCACCCTAGCTGATTGTGTATGTTGGGAAGCCACTTCCCCTTTCTGGGCCTCAGTTCCCTCATCTGGAAAATGCCCAGGTGATCTCTTAGATTCCCTCCCAATGTAAATTCTATGATTCTATGAACTTTATTTTACTCCATCACCTATTTTCAAAAATGCTATAGCTTTAAAAAGTACTAAAATATAGAGATTTTATTTCTACTTGTAATTGCATAGCTTTCAAAATCTGACTCAGGTGCTAAAAATCAGATTATGAAAAAGTTTCCTTTCTTTTAAGTAATGCCTAGAAACAGAATACCTTGAAAAAGAATGAGTTGGTTTTGTTAAGCACAATACCCTCAGAAGGGTCATTATTTAAAAGGAAAAAAATGACAGGAGAGGATTTTTCTCCAAGCTTATCTCAAAACTAAAGATATGGAAGAAAATACAGCAACTTTTCTAGGCATTAAGTCATTTAGAACAGAATAAAAATTAATTAATATGAAATATTTAATCACCAAGTAGCTAAATAAATGAACTTTTCCAAAAACAAAAGGCAAAGTTTGGTCTTCAGTTTATTATTTATCTAGAAAATTCTCTTTGCATGCAAAACAATTTGCTTTGCATTATTCACATATAAACTGCCTTTGGGCCACACAGCCAACAGACCAAGTGAGGTGTATCTGTTTCTTCTCCACAGGGTATTTTGTCTCAAATTTTTATTTATGGTCATATAGAAAAAAACCTGCTTTTGGTATCACATGCAAAAAACTTTACACAGAAAAATCTGTATTTGCACAGCCTTTTGGGGGGTTTTATTTTGCTAAAAAGTAGAATTCACATGGGCCAAAAAAAACCCCAAAAAACATGCAAAATATTTTTGTGCACACCTCTAACACACTATATTCCATTTCTGAAATCTTAAAAAAAAAAATCCCAAAGAAAAAGTACATGATTTGAAAAGTTAACATTATAAAAGCTAGATTCCTAACACAAACACTGCAAACACAAGACATTCAGTTGCAAAAAATTAATGTTTATAAATGTTAAATAAATGTCAACAATGAGACAAGAACTGTAGATCCAACGGGTACTTTCCACCATGACTATTAAAAATTGTGTTTGGTATTGTAGGCCACACATGATGTTAATTTGAAATAGATACAACCTTAACCCTGATGCTATGCCAAACTTGCAGACATGGGAGAAACTATTCAAAACTACCTCCTTTCCCTACTACCTTTAAAATTTTTGTTTGTTTGTTTTGTGCTTTGGTAAATATTTTGTGTTTTGGTAAATAAGAGTCCCTCAGAATCTACACTAGCTCTGAGATGTAAAAAAAGAAAAAAATGATTCAATAAACAACTATGATGAAGTTCTCCTTTGAGATATTTCACTTTTCTTTTTAATGATCACACACTTTTTTATGATCATGTGTGTGTGTGTGTGTGTGTGTGTGTGTGTGTGTGTGTATAAATTCTTTTAAGTTTTGGACACTTAACTCTAGGGGACTTTTTTCCTTTCCTCAAGACTAGTCCTTGATAATTTAATAGTTTTGGGGTTTTGTTTGTTTGTTTTTTAAAGAAAAAATCTGCCTAGAGCTTTTCTGCAGAGTCAGCAACCTCCTTGTCCTGTATATTTGAATTTCCCAAAACTTAACAGAATGCTCCAAGGTACTTGTTTGCAACTCCTGAAAACTCTCCAGGTACTCCCCACAAATTTTACTCTGCTTGGTGTTTTATATTCACTTTCTCACAGCACCAGTTCCATTAGGGCCCTGCCGTATGAGCATGTGTACATCCTTCCGGGTGCTCCCTGGGTAACATTGGTGGCTTTACCCTTGGAAAGAAACACGGGCCTCCTGCTGCGGACACATCTAGATGCTTCCCTCTCTCTTGGGGAGAAGGGACATATTCAGGCAGAAATGCAGTCCCCTGGAAGCCTCAGTTCTCAGAAGAAAAAGTATTCTATAATATATTCTCATAAAAGATTTCAAGCGTGCAAAGAGAAAATCCAAAACAGGAGTGAGAAGAGTAGCAGTGAGTTAGAAGAGTGCCCAAGTATTGTGCTCAAGTGAGAAACATCCACTCAAACTATTTGCTTCAATGCCATTTCAACAAGCATAATAACAGTGCTTCCTAAAAGGGAAAGAGACTATATACATACCATTTTCAACCTCAGAAACTAAAGCCTCTCTCTTTATCCTCAAACAGCTTTAAAATGCTTACTTAACTCAAACTATCACTAATATTTTAAAGAAGTGTGAAGACCCAAGTCTATTTCAATAAATATTTAAATAATTGTTAGATCAAGCCAGTTCATACATTTTCAAAATATTGGCCCAAATGGCAAATGAGTATATACCAGCGCATCTTTTCCTTCCAGCAGTCAACGTGATGGTACATAATCAGTGCGCTGCATTTAAAGGAACACATGAAAAGGATGGTGCTGATTTCAGGTGGAGGGGCCTGCCAACTCATGCATGCCGACCGAGGTTGGCAGAATGGAAGGTTCCTCTTCCCCACCCAGAGTTTGGGCATGTCCTCAGCCTATTCTGCAATCCTGTTTCAGACACTGTCTCTTCTTCTCCACAGTTCACTAGCCTGTTGGGGGAAGGGGTGCTGAGGAAGACTTCGTAAGTGAGTGATCATACCACTCACTGGGAGTGAAATACGTGCACGTGACTGGATATTCATCTAACTAACCTCATAAAGCAAAACAAAGACCAAACACAACCCAGAGTTGTTTTAAAATCTCTCACACACAGCAAAGTAAAACTGGAAAAACCCAATTCCACTTTCCTGTCACAACTCAAAAAGGAGCTAAAACTTCTGGGACATCGGATGTTTCAGACTGAAAGAGGGGAGCTGAAGAGCCCATCTTTCCTCAGCTGTCAGCAGTGTGAGCCACAGCCCTTCCAGAAGCCAGGTCAATTGCTCAGGGGCTCCAGAAAACATAACTCTGGATGTCTGGGCTCCCTTTAGAATGTTCAAGTCTTTTCAAGGTCTGAAGTCTGATGCACAGAGGTAGCTCCATGACGTTCGTAATGGAATAACACTTCCTTTTTTGGTGAGGAAAGAAAGCCCAATTGGTCTTAGCTAACAAGCTCTCAGCTCTGGCTCTAAAAACACCCTGCAGCGAGGATTATTTGGCACTTTATTTTGTTTGCCGGAGGAGGTCTAAAGAACTCACAGAATGCTTCAGATTCTCCACAGCTGCTCTGAGCTCTGTCCCTGCTCTGGTGACCGACCTCATGAAGTGTATCACTTTGGGAAAGTTACTTTTTGTTTTTCACTTTTGAGTTCTTGGAATTCTGTCCAAAATGTCTGAAGTACAATTTCAGTCTTGGATTAATTACTAGCGTGGTTTAGGAATCTTCATTTGGCTTCTAGTCTGAACTATGCAAATACACAATCTGTGTGCAGAAGAAAGGACTAAAATTATACTTCAAAAGGGCTCAGTTGCTTCCTGTCTTCCCCCTTTCCTCCCCAAAAGAAACGTCAGCCTCCTTGAATTCATTGTTGCCAGCAGCTGGAGCAGCTCCCCGCCTGTCCGCATCAGATGCCTGGGCGCCCTACACGTTGATGGCGTGTGCATGCTTCTTGCACAGAGGTTTGTCTTTCTTGGAGTAGAACGGCTGCCCCTCCAGATTCACGTGGCAGACCTGGGACAGAAAACAGACCAGCGTGACACAGGGTCTTGCAGCCCGTGAGGCAGATGGACATGAGCAAATGATTTCAGTCACCCCTTTATGAAACAGTGCTGTCACATGCTGATGGGAGGAAAGGCAACAGCCTATTTCTCCCCACTATAAATTCTTTTTTTTTTTTTAAGATTTTTATTGGGGAATTGGGGGAAGGGGAACAGACAAGTTGCTGTCATTTTGTTCTTCAGTCTAGTTGTAGAGGATGTTGCTTCACCGGCCCAAGTTGGCACCATGATTGCGCTCTTCCCGGGCGAGGCACATCAGTCTCCGGCTTCTGGACGGCTGCTCACTGCGGCTCCTGGCCGCTCACGCTGGCTGCTGGCTACACACAGTAGCCCGTGGCAACCCAGCCCAGCTCCAGGTTGAGCTGTTGTTGTTCAGCATCTTAGCTGTAGAGGACAGTGTCACTGGCCCTCATATGTGGGATTGGAACCGGTGCCCTCTGGCGTCCCAAGCCAGCTCTTAACCAACGCGCCACTCGGCTGGCCCTCCCCACTATAAATTCTTAACGAATAAAGCAGAGTAGATGGATTGAACTATATAAAATTTACCACATCCAAAGAGGAACATGAAATAAATCTCAACTTAAATTAATTAAATAGTCTAGAGAAAATATACATGATGAAGACTAATTAACGCTATCCAAAATATATAAGGAACCAATACAAGTTCATAAGTCAATATCCAAAGAGATGATTAGCACCTAAAGAAATACCATTAGTAAACTAACAAACACATCAGAAAAATTATCCTCACTAATAATTAAAGAAAAAATAAATAAAAACCTCCATACATACCACTAGATACGTATTAATATAGGAAAAAAAAAAGCTCAATGACTTGTCACCTTTAACCTTATATGACTGTAGCCAAAAAGTGAAAAAAAAAATGTAATCAAAAGTGCAATGCCAAAGGGAACCCGGCCTATCTGCGCTGTTAGGGACACGTGAATAAGCCCAGTCTCCTTCAGGGGATGTGGCAACACTGAAGAGGAGCCATAAAGATGTGCCTGCCTTGTACCCCAGTAACCTCACTCTGGAGAATTTTATCTTGAAGAAACTATTGCACAGGTCAAGCAAGCAGCATGTGCTCAAGTAAAACCTGAAAACCACTAAAATTTCTCTCAATAAGGAGATGATTAAGTAAAATGTTTACGGTACATTTTTCCAATGGAATGGCACCATGAAAAAGATACATCAAATGTGGAAAAGTGAATGCAGGGAAATATTATGTTAAAAAAAGAGACAAAATTATATACTCCCATGATGGCAACATATGAGTGCAGTTTGAAGATGGAGACATCACAGGAAAAAGGGAGCTGAGTAATACTTGTTGAGGTACTGTGCGTCAAGTAGGGTGCAGACATTCTATGTACATGATCTCACTTAATTTTTACAAAACCTTATGGGATAGGTATGACTTTTCCTCATTTCACAATTGAAAAACTGAGGCTCAGCAAACCCAAGCGTCTTGTTTAAGTCACAGACCTAGTAAGTTGTAGGGCTGGGCACCCATGTCCAGGTCTGCAAGACTCCAATTCTAAGCTCATTTTCTGCACAGCCCACAGCAGAGAGGGGCTATGTTTACTAGAAATTGTTCTAGGTTTACGGACTTGTGTAGAGGCAGCCCTCTAAGTCTGTTGGACTACCAATACATAGGCTGGCCCTTGGTGGGCAATAATGCCAATGTGTCAGAGTCAGCTGGGAAGTCACCTTAGCTGGGACAGGCTCCAGCCTCAGAGAGATCACTGAGGATCCATAGTGGGGAGCAGAACTGGGGGCCACATTGGGAGAAATGCAGGTGGAGTTCTCACATTCGAGCAGGCATGATAATAGAAAAATCACCCTACAGAGATGAGGGCGGGTCAGTGAGCATGTGTCCGCTTGTAGAGGTGGAAAGAAAAGTACCATCATGGTGGCCCCATGTGCACAGCCCTGGTGGTCAGCTGAGGAGATTATACCTGGGGTCACACAGGGCTTCCAATGAGCTCTGGAAGCCAATGGCCTGCAAGCATCACGTCCCAGGGGGATGCAGTCATGTTGAATCTAACCAGCCTCTTGTGGTGGCCTCAAGATGCTGATGACAACTTCAAGACGGTGGCACTCAAGATCCAAGTGAGGATGGGTTTCAGGGGAGACAGAAAGGCAGCTCTGGAATGAGTTGGCAAGGAGATGGCCCCCAACCCTGCCTGATCTGGAACAGTGCTGACAGCCTGTGAGACCTCGGGGATGAGGCATGCTGGACAGGGGATTGGGGGACTAAGACCAACACGTAAGGAAGGGCCAGAGCCTCAGAGATGGCTCACTGATAAGAGGGGGCTGAGGGCAGGAGCTTTCATGCAGAGGCTATGCTCAGTGTCTTGGGCCAGGAGACTGCAGGTGGGATGCAAGGTGGCTTCGTGGTAGAGGAGGCCTCCAGCCCACCCAGCAGGGGCACAGCAGCGATGGTCCATCTCCCAGGCTCTGTGGTCAAGTAGCATCAGGGCCTGCCTGGCCAGGAAGGAGTGGTGAACACAGACTGTGCTGACCACAGAGTGGAAGGCCAGGTGCAGGGGCCCTTATGACTGCTCCCAAAAGTGATACCCCCACCCATCCCCTCCTGATACCCACACCAGGGGGGAAGGGCTAGAAACCAAGAACACTTAGAAGAAATAGGGGGCCAGTAAGACATCTTTCCCCCACTAAGGAATGACCCAAATCCTTTACCTAGAACCCAAGTGCTAAAGGCAGACAGGAGCTGAACCATCACCTTGACCCTCACTGCCCTTTCTCAGTCTTCATTTTATACACTTGGGATGTTGGAGATGTTGTCTTGTTCTGTTCTCTAATTGCTTATATATGTTAGCTTTATTTTCCTTTCAAGATTCTAAATTCCTTGAAGGTGGAGACCTGTTCTGGAATACTCTTGTATTCCCAAAACTCAAGGAGTATTTGGTAATTTGAATTAGTCTAAAGGATGTGTTCTCCCAAGATATGACTGATGGGAAATACCGCATGTCAGCTGGGAGGGCTAGTCCTGATCTACCTTTCTTACTAGTTGTTTTTTTTTAAATTGTAGGAAAATTACACGCTCATTAGAAGTGATTTGGAAATATAAAGTGATAGAAGGAGGACCAAAAAAAGCCCTCAGAGTTATCCAATGAAAAGATTGCTTTCCAAAAAGTAAAACCATGCTCCACTTTGATATATCCTAACAGAACAGTGAGTGTCACGGAGGGCTAGTTTGGGGGAAGACATAATGATTCTCCATGTTGATTCTCCAAAGGATGGGATCTGCCTGGTTTCTCTGGGAGGATCCCTTGGGCAGTGCTGTGGGTGTCTCACACACACCTAAGTAGAACTTATTTGTAATCTCTGCCTGAACAACCCTAAGCTTTATTGCTTCTTCTGAGCTCCCTCTGGGCCTTGTGCTGTCGTGGCTCTCAGCCAAAGATGCGGGCTTGAGGGAGCAGACCTATGCTCACCTTTGTCATGGTTCCTTCTCCATGTGACACAGATCTCTCATCAGCCTGTCCTCAGAAAACAGGCCTTCTGTGCCACTGTCTTTCCTGAACCTTATTCAAATCTCTTGGATCCTTCCAGAAGTAGGGTAACCAGACTTGCAGGCAGCATCTTAGGATCAGACAAGCCATGGCTTGAATGTAAGGGTCAGAGGGCCATATGCTGTGCCTTGCTGAGCTGTGGCTCTGCAGGGGACAACCTCAAAGCCAGTATACTTATAGCATTGTCCCTTTTTGGAGCGGAGGCCCTGATGTATTTAAAGGACCCTAAAAGGCAACTAGAGAATCTATTTAAAGAGACGGAAAATCAGTGTTATGGGTTGAATTGTGTCCCCCGCCCCCCCTCCAAATTCATATGTTGAAGTCCAAACCCTTAGTACCACCAGCCTACCCAGCATGGGGACACAGCAGTGACCTCATTTGGAAATAGGGTCTTTGCAGATGTAATTAAGATGTAAGTTAATGAGGTCATACTGGAGTAAGGTGGGCCCTAAATGCAATATGGCCTTATATTCTTATAAGGATATAAGAAGAGGAGAAGCACACAGAGACAGGCACACACAGAGGAGACAGCCGTGTGAAGACACAGACGCACAGAGGAAAAACAGCCATTTGATGACAGAGCCAGAGACTGGTTATGCAGTTATAAGCCAAGAAACACTGAGGCTGCTGGCAAACACCAGAAACTAGAAGAGAGAGGACGGCCCTGCTGAATTTGGACTTCTAGGCCGCAGAACTGTGAGAGAATCAATTTCTTTTATTTAAGCCATTAGTTTGTGGTATTTTGTTATGGCAGACCCAGCAGACTAATACACAGAGTGAACACAGTACTCCCCACTAATGGAGTGGGGGGGCAGTATAGAAATGAATTGTAAAACCTGAAGTGTATTGCAGTAAACTTTATGACTAGGGTTGTCCTCTGTCATAAGTCCATAAAAATTTTTAAAGTTTAAACAGATCTTTCATACATTCCCAAAATTTTCCTTAAGCAGCTCTGGTAAAAAAAGAAAAAATAGTAGTAGCACATTAATTTTCCCAAATAAAGTTTAGGCAGTGACAGACTGACAGGACAGGGCTTTATCAGGGATGACTATTTCTTAACTCTCATGCAGAATCTAAATGTCAGTGGCTCATTATCACGTCTCCTCCCCAACCAACCTGAAGCTCTGAGAAGGAAAATGCCAATCTCCCATGGTAAAAATGACCAGGTTGTTTAGCAGAAAATAAATTACACGTGGTTAGCAGTTAATCTTGGGCTTATCTCCTGGCAACTACATATCAAGAACAAGACCATTTAGGAAAAATAAATGATACCCAGTCCTGCTTTCTAAAGGTTCTACCAAAGGAAGCCTTATCTCAGCTTTTCATAGGATTAGTCAATAAGCTCCAATCTAGTGTTGGTGAAAATTTAGAGGAAAACCCTTGAATCACTTCATCATATCTAAAACAACCTGTAACCATAAGAAGCAATCCACCCCTTTTTAAATCCAAGCATCATTCACTGCTCCCACCTACTGAGAATAATGCTGGTAGGGCTGCTGGACAACCCCTCAAATCACTGGGTTAGGTAGGGGCAGTGGGTGAATCCTAATTGGTTACTTGTCATCTTGCAGACAAAATACTCAATTACATGATTGGTTGTTTTTTTTTCCTTTCCCAATAATTTGCACTAGTGTATAGATTCAGGCATAGTCACCACCCTGTGCTGGTTTGATTTGCAAACACTTTCTGAAACTGTCATTAACTTTGTGCAGGGTCATTTTCTCCTCTGTCTCTGTCACCTCTTATACCTCAAACAGACCAATCCCCAAAAAGAAAAAAAAGTCATATTACCCAGATCCTGGCACTCTGTTGTCCTTAATGAAATGGAGAGTAACAAAGCCACACTGGTTTATAAAAATTATTAGTAATAAAACTTTGCTCAACTGTGACATATCAAGGCATTATGGTATTTGCCGGCTTTTAAAAATGTTCAGATTCGAATGTCAGAGTTGAAAGGATGTAGAGTGTGGGTCACCTGACCCACTTGGTCCCTCTTGCCCCTTCTCAGAAAGTCAGAACCCCAGGCTAAAAACATACCGCACAAATGAAGCAAGTATCATGCCAGGTATGCCCCAGGGCTTCGATAAACTTGTCACCAGCCTCCACGGGGAAATCGCAGCCGTGACACTTGGTGCTGAACAGATTGACATAGTCTGAAACAAAAGACAGAGTGAGGACCAGCCTCCAGGCAGGCTAGGAGGGGCATCCTGGCCATATCGACCCAATGCCAAGACAACCCCCCAAATCACTGGGCTAGGAGCAGTGGGTAAATCCTAACTGGTTGTCATCTTGCAGACAAAAAACTCAAGTTACATGATATTTTTTAAATTTACATTTCCAATAATTTGCACTGGTGTATAGATTCAGGCTTAGTCACCACCCTGTGCTGGTTTGATTTGCAAACACTTTCTGAAACTATCATTAACTTTGTGCAGGGTCATTTTCTCCTCTGTCTCTGCCACCTCTTGTAGCCCAAACAGACCAATCCCCGAAAAGAAAAAAAAAAGTCCTATTTCCCAGCAGCTATGCTTATTTTGAAAGAATGAGAGCTCTTACCATTTTTGTTTTGTTTTGTTTTTTAGCTGAGCCATCCTGCTACCTGTTGGCAGCTGAGCGGCTGCTCAGCTCGGGCTGGACTCGAACCACTGTTGCTCAGAGCTCAAACTCTTGAGCGAGCTCTTAACCAACTGAGCCACTCGGCCGGCCGAGCTCTTACCATTTTTAATAGTTATAGAATGTTCTTTGCTTGGTCATTTTTCTGTCATTGGGCATTTGTGTTAATAACAAATTTTAACTACTAGAAACAATATTTGAGCTACTTCATTGGGAGATGTCCCCTGCCCCCTCAGCCAAGGAGATAATAATACCAAATATTCTTTGCACAGTGCTTCATAATTTACCAAGCATTCTCACATAGATGGTATGTATTATTTACTATTAATAGTATCTCAATGTCAAGGTCTTTGTACTCCCGGCACAGTGCTTGACACATAAGTCAGTGTCCAACACATACACATTGAATGAATAAGTGACCAGATGAAACAATGAATCAATAAATCAATGAATGAACTTAATCTTTGCAAAATCCCTCGAATATTGAACTATCACGGTTTTTCTGTTTTGTTTGGTTGTATTTTGTGGATGAGAAAACTGGGGAACAAAGAGGTGAAGGGCCTTGCCAGAGTCATACAGCTGTGACACAGTGAGCCAGGTCCCCTGCTTCTCCACCACAGGAGCTGTCCTCTTTGGGTCACAGGGGCAGTAGTTCTACTGCACTCACTGTACAGCTCTTCCAAGTTCTTTCTAGAAAAGCTTGATGACTTTTGCAAAGCCTTCATTTCCCTGGAAGTGTATTTGTCTCTCCACAGCTCTACCACAGTTGGCTTTTTCTTACAGTGATTTTTCTGCTCATCTCCTTACAGACAGTATGCCTGTTCACTGTCTTAGCCCACATGCTAAGAGGCAGAGTGCCGTGGGGATTAGAAGTTTGGGTTTGAATAAAGAAAGAGCTGGGTTCAAACCCCAGCTCTATTAAGGAATTGTTCAAACAGGAGGCAAGTCGCCTCAACCCTCTCATCTATATAATGAGAGTAACTACAGTACCTAACTCGTGGGGTTATTATACAGAATAAATCAGATAATGTATGTGAAGCTCTTGGCACAAATACTCAAAATGTTGGCTCTAGTTTTGAATGTCTTTATAAATGATGAAAGGAGGAAAGGGAACTGATGTAAGTGCCTACTATGTGCCAATCCAATATTAGTGCTTTACTACGTTTCTTTTTTAATATTCACAGGAGCTCTGTGAAAAAGTTTATTCCCATTTTAAAGACAAAGAAACTGTCGGTAGAGGTTCCACCATACAAGTAATGAGGAGCCTGATGGACTCCAAATTTAACACTCTCTTTCCATGACCTCATGCTATCTCCAGTTATCCATTTTCCATTGAGCTTTGGTAAGTTATAACTCTTGCATATTTTTCCAATATGGTTTCATTTTTTGGGTCTAATTAGTTTGTCATGCAAAAGCTTTTACCTGTATCACAGTCTGTGAATCTTGCTTCTGACAGAATACTTAATTTCTTCTGTTGGCAGTAATCTATCACTTCACCAGAGCTAAGAAAACATTATTCTGCTTCCTTTAGGAAGTTACAGCAGGTTTGTGGTTCACTCTGCACTCTGCTGGAACTTAGCAGTGTCGGGGGAGAAACAGAGCTCTAGGCTAACCCATCCCCACTGGACGGCGAGGCGAGCCCTTCCTCCACTCCTGACTCTTCTCTCCTTACTCTCAGTTGGTCTCCAGATGCCTGGGCGCTCTCCTCCATGTCTATGCCTCTGTATGAACCAGGCCCTGGGCTTGGAAAACCCTCCCCACTTTTTCTACCTGAACCTTGGCCATCCTTTGGGCCAGGCCCTCCTTCTGGGAAGATGCCATCCCTACCCGAATCAAGAGACATGAGATGGGCTCCCTGAGGGCTTCTCCTGGGCTTCCCTTCCTCTTCATTCACTTATTATTTCTTAACTGTCGATTTAGGTGCTGGCACGTCACATGCTGATGAGTCTACTGGAGGTTTTTAAGGGCAGAGACCCCCTTCTCTATGCTCAGCATCTTACACAGGAAGTGGCACACATTTGATGGATAAATGATGAATTGACAAAGAAATGGTTAAAAAAAACATTAAATAGTGATTCCTTCTACTGTTGTGCACCCTATGTTTTTTCACAGATTAAACTCTTATAATGGATTGATTTTATGTCTGGAATATCTAATCTTCCCTACTGGTTGGCATTCCTGTTTTAAACTTGATTCTGTATGATCTGGAAAATTGCCACTTTGTTTTAGAATTTGGTAGCCCAGGTCTAACCCTAATACATTAAAAAAAAAGATGCTGATAGTTTTCCTCATTTATTCTACAAAAGAAGAATTGCATTAAGTTTGTACACGGGCCTTTCCCATCAGGATCATAATCTAGTTCCTCATTTATTTATTGCTTGCTCTATCTTTCCTATTAGGTCTTTATAATTTTCTTTGACTAACTCTCTTATGCTCCAAGTTGAATTCATACCCTGTATTTAATGAATTTTATTGCTATTGTAAAAGCAATCAAATCACAGATGCTCTGTGTTGAAAAAGGACTTACTGCTTTACCAGAGCAGTGGTTCTCAAATGTTAGAATCATCTGGACAGTTCATTAAAACACAGATTGCCAGGCTTCACCCCCAAGAGTTTCTGATTCAACAGATCTGGGGTGGGGCCAGAAGATCTGTATTTCTAATAGGTTCCCAGGTGATAGAAATGTTGCTGGTCCTGGGACCACACTTGGCTTCCCAGTCCTAACTGAATATTGGAATCACCTGGGTGGGGGAAGGGCACCCCATGAAATCCAGCTTCTGGAAGTCTGGGAATTTATCTTCTCTATTTCATTAAAGTTCCCCAAGGTAATTGTAACAACCTGACAGGCTTTGGCACTACTCGGCTGCAGGCTCATCTGTGAGGGGCTGACGCTCCCATCTGTCTGTCTTACATACAAGATGTCATATAGAAAAGTGTCAGCCCATCATTGCAGCCAACTGAAATTTTGCAAGTCTACAATAGATCCTATCTTCTGTGTCTTCTTCCAAGTTGTTGATAAAAATGATGACAAAGTACCACAACGAGATACTACCTTACACTCATTAGAATGACTGCTATAAAAAAAAATCAGAAAATAACAAGGGTGGGCAAAACTGTAATTAGAACGCTGTGCACTGTTGGTGGGATGTAAAATGGTGTAACTGCTATGGAAAACAATATGGAGGTTCCTCAAAAAAGTAAAAAATAGAACTACCATATGACCCAGCAATCCTGCCTCTGGGCATATACCCAAAAGAACTGAAAACAGGATTTTCAAGAGATATTTGTATACCCATGTTCACAGCAGCTCTATTCACAATAGCCAAGAAATGAAAGCAACCCAAATGTCCGTCAATCTTTTTTGGAGGGTTGCTATGGAGGGACGCAATGGTGGTAGTGAAAAATCTATCATTTTCTTTTGCAAACCTGAGACACAAATTATGGCTTATAACAAACTTTGAAAGTTATAATGCTTTCAATTAATTAATAGCAATTCACATTAGAATTATAGCACTTTTTTTAATTACCAATAATCACCGTATGCTCATAAGCAGGGAAAAGACAGGTGTTATCTTCTCCCTTTTACAGATGTGGAAACTGAGGCACAGCATTACTAAGTGACTAAGTCATTCAATTCACTTCGGAGCTGGAAAGAAAATTCACCGGTATGTAAGAACCCAAAAAATCGCTTTTATAATTTATTGTCAGGGGAAAAAAGTTTCATTTTGTTTTGCTTTCACCTTGAGGAACTAGAATGTTTTCTCCTTTCTGATCTTAAAGTAAACTAACTTACTGTGTCTCTTTTTGCCCTCAAATGTGCTACCCAGTCAACTGCTTCTCTGTAAACCTTCATAATCAGCATGCTTACTTTTCTTTCCTCTGCTTAGTACTGATTTTCTGTTTCTAGGGTCTTAACCTTCAAGTCTATGTTATCTTTGTTGGAACCTGCCTCAAATCCTTTTCTGAAAGAGGCAGGCTGTGAGTGAGTGAGTGAGTGAGTGAGTGAGTGAGTGAGTGAGTGAATGGCTAGTTGGCCAGGACATCCCACTTTCTAGTACAGTGCTTTGTCTTCAGAATTTCTCCAAGTTTTAAAATAACATACATTCTTTGGGAAGCAGAGAAACTCTGAATTCAGACAGGGAGATTACAGGACTCTGAGGGAACACTGCATGGGCAGGGAGAGGGACTTCCATGTATTCAACGCTTTATATACTTTCTCTGTTCTAATCCTCACTACAACTATGTGAGGCAGGTGTTCAGTCCCCCCATTTTACAGATGGGGAAACGGAGGCCCAGAGAAGTTTTGTACCGTATTTGCCGGCGTATAAGACGACTGGGCGTATAAGACGACTGGGCGTATAAGACGACCCCCTAACATTTCCACTCAAAATACAGAGTTTGTTATATACTCGCCGTATAAGACTACCCCCTCTTCCGCACACCTTCCACACACCAAATAAAAGGTAAAACAATATCAGATTTGATTTCAACATTTATATTTATATTCAAATGCTTATGACATGCAGGAAAACTGTCACAAGGCTGTATGTAATCAAACATATACATAAATCGCGATTCGCGATTTTGCGCTATCATACTGGGTGTATGGTCGGCTGTGTGCGATTTTGCGAGTGTGGTAAAATCGCATAACAGCAAAATCGCATAACAGCCGAGCATACACCCAGCAGCGCTGCTGATGCCTGAACGGTATGTGGAATGAAGTGGGCGGGCATCGGGAGGCCACTATGGCACGGGGCAAGCACTATGGGCAGTCTATCTGAAGTGTACCTGGCTTATAAGACGACCCCCCACTTGGAGGCATATTTTTCAGGGCCAAAAAATCGTCTTATACGCCGGCAAATACGGTAACTCACTCAGGGTTGCAGAGCCAGCCTGAAGTGGAGCCTAGAGCAGAACCTGGGATGAAGTCCAGAGCCAAAGCCTTTTCAGGCTAGACTATGTGGTCTTTGAAATCATCTGAAAGGTTTCCCATGGTGCTACAAGATGCCAACTTGTGATCCACATATTTGGTGCAGGGAACAGAGCAGACAATGAATACGTAAAAAAAAAATAAGCTGCAACCAAATGGGCAGAGGAGATAGTTCAATGAACTTCCTTTGTGTAGTATTAGCATGATTCTGCCTTGGAGCCTCCTGATGGTTCCATGTGAATGGACCTAGGCAGAAGTTCCTTGTGTCTGCCCATGTCTCTCAGAGAGGAGTGGGGGGTTGGGAGCCTCCCTGCAGCCCTACCTTTCTCACAGTAGGGCTCCCCATCTTCCATGTGGAAAAGGCTGTTCCCGAAGGGCTTCTTGCAGGCCGCACAGATGAAGCAGGTGGTATGCCACGTCTGTCTCAGGGCATGCATCACTTCCTAAAGGAAAGAGCCTCAGCTCAGAACAGAAAGGTCCAGAGGAGTGGGGTAACTGGGCTTGACTTCCCCATCAGGCCCCCGGGTACTGCCAGAGCATCCCTTCTGGGAGCAGGGCAGGAGAGCCCAGGAAGCAGGATTTGGGTGCACTGAGAAAAGGCCTGGGGTGGCAGAGGAGGGGTTCCTACCCATGCAGCTCTTGCTGGATGCCAGGTTCTGCATGTGCTTATATAACTGTGATGCCAAACATTCCCATCAAACCTGGGAGGGAGGTACTGCTTGTTACCGCCATTTTACCAAAGGGGCATAAAGGGTCAAGGCCACATGCAGGCGCATGGTGGGGTCAGGCTATGAAGTGATAACTTGCTTGGTAGAAGCTCTACCACCACTTCAAAGCTGTGTGGCCCAGGCCGGTAATCATCTCTCACTTCGAGTGCATGTGCTCCCTAGTTCATTAGTGGTAAACCAACTCGCTTCCAGGTTAGAAATGGAGTTGCTCTGTCTCTGTTAGTAGTAACTTCCTGGCTTCCTAATGGTAGCCCACAATCCTGGGGAGGGTCAGAGGAGAAGGACGCTGCCCACTTACCCCCATGATTTTGGTGTTGCACTTGGCACAGATTGGGGCAAAGAACTGCTCATAACACCGCTCGCAGTAAACATTGTTCTGCTCTTCCACAAAGCACACGTCTGCCAGGGAGGTCTTGCAGTAGGCACAGTTGAACTCTTCTGGGTGCCAGGAGCGGCCCATGGCTACCAGAAAGGGGCCCCTGAGAAACAGAGACCAGCACCTACTAAGGCAGCCCAAAAAGCTTGAGAACAGATAATATGAAACCCCGAAGAATGCCCATACTTTGACCCAACACCCTAACTTTTGTGACTGTTCTAACAAAATTTAGATAAAGCTCCACGCAGAAAGATGTTCATTGTTGTGTCATTTACCAAAGAAAACTGGGAAGCAACTCAAACATCCACCAGTAAGGGGTGGGGTAAGTGTATTACGGAATACCCACTCAGCTGACTACTGATAATTAAAATAAGAAGAGCAGGGGCAGCCGGTTAGCTCAGGTGTTTAGAGTGCAGGCTCATAACACCAAGGTTGCCGGTTCAAGGAGCTGTGCCCTCCACAACTAGATTGAAACAACTACTTGACTTGGAGCTGATGGATCCTGGAAAAACACACTGTTCCCCAATAAAATTTCTTGGGAGCTGCCGGGTGGCTCAGTTGGTTAGAGCGAGAGCTCTGAGCAACAGGGTTGCCGGTTTGATTCCCACATGGGCCAGTGAACTACACCCTCCGCAACTAAATTGAAGACAACAACTTGAACTGAGCTGCCACTGAGCTGCGGGTGGGTGGCCGGATGGCTCAGCTGGTTAGTGTATGCTCTTAACAACAAGGTTGCCGGTTCAACTCTTGCATGGGATGGTGGGCCGTGCCCTCTGCAACTAGATTGAATACGGAACCTTGAGCTGAGCTGCCGCTGAGCTGCCAATGGGAGGCCATAACAAGGTTGTCAGTTTGACTCCCGCATGTGATGGTGGGCTGCGCCCCCTGCAACTAGATTGAAAATGGCGACTGGACTTGGATCTGAGCTGCACCCTCCACAACTAAGATTGAAGGATAACAACTTGACTTGGAGCTGATGGGTCCTGGGAAAAACACATTGTTCCTCAATAAAGTCAAAAAACAAAAACAAAAAACAAAACAACAAAAATAAACAAGTGTTACAAAAAAAAAAAGAAGAGCAATGATGGTACTGATGGCTAAGCTAACATTTAGTAAGTGCTTACATGGTGCCAGGCACTAGTCAAAAAGAAATTTGTATTTATTAACTTGTTAATTCTCATGACAATCCTATGAAGTAGGTTCTATTATGATATCCATTTTCAGATGAGGAGCTGAGGCACAAAGATTAAGTAGGTTGTTCAAGGCCATAGGGTCAGTATGGTAGACCTAGGACACAAACCTGCGTAGTCTACCTAGTTCACATTAGTAGTCAGAAGAGTGGGACTATGAGGAAACGTTTTATATTTTAATTTTTACTTTCTGAATTTTTGAATTCTTCTTCAGTGCATGTTACTTTACTTTTTATTTTTTAAACTGTAGTTTTCCTATACTCGTATATAAGCTTACCATCCCCCTACAATCCCCCTACACACAAATACTATAAACATACTATATTGGGGAAACAAACTGAACCCCCACCCTTCCAGGACCCCAGCACAGGGGCACAGCTGGACCTTACCGGATAACATTGTTGCAGTGGCCACAGAGCGGAGTCCGACTGCTCGCTGGGAAGCGCTCAGCCCTCTGGACGGTGCCCCTGGCAAGGGGGGGCACCTGGGTACCTGTCGGGGTATAGGCTTGGGTCCCTCGGGGCACAGTCTGCTTGCTGATGGAGCTGGTACTCTTGCCAGGGGCAAACTTCTGAGAGAAGCTGTCATCTGTCACCCATGGGGGGCGGCTGGTGGATTCTGTAGGGCCCCCACTGTAGGCCACCAAGGGTGTAGGGTTATAGCTTGGGGCAGGTGAGGAAGTATAGGCTGGTGCTGGGGAGGAGAAATAGGTGGGGGCAGGCGAGGGGGTATAGGCAGGGGCAGGCGACGGGGTATAGGCAGGGGCAGGGGAGGGTGTGTAGGGAGTTGGACTGTAATTGGCCCCCGGGGACGGGCTATAAGTAGATGCAGGCACTGCAAAACAAAAAGATTCAAAGAAAATGTGTCAGGAATTCATTTCCCCCAAACCTCCCCACCCCAGCCAGAGAAAGGTGAGTTTAATATTAGACTAGGACAATTCCAGTTTTTACCGGAGAAACGGTCTTGAACTTCTTGATGCCCTAGATTTGAATTTGCAGTAGGACACAAGGGAGATAAAGAGCCCTCAGAGCAGAGCCCCCAGGAGCTCCCATGGCTGGGAAAGGGATATAGCTATAAATATCTGCAGCTGCTTGGGGTGGGGCTGCTGGAGGCCTGCAGAAGGCAGGGAGTGGGGGCAGGGGGCAGGGCCAGGCTCCTATCTGGATCCCCTGGGAATGGGTCAGTTTGGCATTGACTGGAGGATGCTTTGGTTGCACTCTGACCTGTGATTTGACATCCAAAATGCCTCAATTGCATGCATTTGCTGAACCTGGACCTAGTACAGTCATCAGAACAAAGCAGATGACAAGGCAGTAGGGTTTTCAGGTTCAGGTTGTAGGATTAGCTACAACCATTTTCCTGGGAAACATCTTGGCTTGATTTGTATTGGGGGGAAATTCCATCTTGGTTTGATTAGGTTGAGGGGTCTTGAAGGAGTCACTCAGAAGAAGCCTGGGCAGAGATGCTAAGGTGACACAGCCAAAGTCTAGCTGCTTTGGGGGCACCCGTGCTCTCCATTAGTTTGGTGGAAAGTGAGAGTGGCTCCGACTGACTACAGAGGTTACCAAGGACATCAGAGTGTAGGAGGAGAACGCACTGCCTCACTTCTGGAACTCCGTCCTCCAGTTCACTGAGAGCTGAAAATCTTTTTGGGGTGACAGCACAAAGGAGCATTGCAGCTGCTCACCCAAAGCCCCCCAAGGCCTGGGCCCTCAAAACCCAGGAATCTTAGTGCTCTATTGCCTCTGCTGTGGAACCAGCTGGGGCAGACCCACCTGCATGCCGCACACACCATCCAGCTAGCATCCTCTTCCAGAGAAGGCTCCAGATGCCTCACCTCAGCTCAGTCCGCTCTTATGGAAAGAGGCCTCATTCTCCTACCCTAGGAAGCAGCATATCAAGGCAGCCTCCCTTCCTATTCCTGGGTCTGGCCTGGGTGGATAGACTGTGCTGAGGGGTACTGAGGTGGCCCCCACCAGGGTCCAGACTGGAAAGTAAGGCCTTTCTCAGGGGAAAAGGCCCTGGCTTGGCCTTTGGTCTCTCACACCTGTTTCCCCTAGACCACTTTGCATGGTTTGTGGCCTGCTGCTCCAACTCTGTACCTTTTATTTCTAGAAGACTGGCCCTTCAGAGCTGGGTATCATGGTATGATGGAAACCCCTGCGCTGGGGGTGGGGAGGGACCAGGCCTTTGTTATGGAAGGTGGAGGGGGTAAAACTCTCCACAACACTGCCCTGGAGCCATCCTGGGAGGATGCCATGCTGGCTTCATCCCTAAAGAATCTTCTTCCTACTTACTAAGAGGGTAGTCTAGGCACTTAATAACAGATCATCTTTGTTAATCCCATTTACAGCTAAGGTCACTGAAGCTCAGACAGAGCCAGTGAGTAGCAAAGTGAGTCTCCAAAACCATTCTTTCTATTACCCCAACCTGCATTTGCAAAGAATACTCCTTGGTCCACTGTGTCATCAGGAGTAATAGTCAACGTGGAGGAGACCCTATGCGCTGGCATGTAGCGCAGCCTTTAGCAGTACAGTTCTACTACATCCTGGCTGTGCATTCTTGGGCAAGTTCCTTAACATCTCTGAGCCTGAATTTCCTTGTCTGAAAATGACTATAATAATTCTTAGTACCTTTCAGGGTTGTTATGAAGATTAAGAGAGCTAAGTACCTGCCACAGTGTGTGTGTATCACTGACAATGGTAGGGATAGTGACTCCTGTGAGTCAGGATGAACTGTCAGGTCATCTCACAGCCTAGTGGTCACCTGGGGGAACACAGCTGAGGTAGACTGTGGGATTGGGGTGGGGGTGGGGGTGGGAGTGGGGGATGTGACACCCTGAAGTTAGATAACCTGGGTCTAAGTCTATTCACCAGTAGTGGTGAGACTCTTGCCTGCCTCACAGGAAATGGTGGGGACCTGCCAGAGTGACTTGGTGCAGCACTTGGTAAATTTGTGAAGCTCAAATTCAAGGTGTTGTCACCCTCCCTAACAACCTTGCATAGCTGACAAGTGCCTGGAGCGGTTCTCACAAGGCTGGGGGCAAAGGTGATGGGGGGACTGCTGCAGGGAGAGGGTATGGAGAAAGGTGATCTAGCAGAATCCCTCTCTGTTATGTATAATGGGGTTCTGTCCAAGATTTTGTTTCCTTTTTTGTAAAGTGGGGGGGCCTCTCCTAAAAAGGATTAAGAACAAAAGCCCTAATCCTGTGCTGTCCAAAACATTAGTCCTATGTGGCTATTGAGCACTTGATATGTGGCTTGTCTGAATTGAGAAATGCTATCAGGGTAAATAAAATGCACACCAGATTTTGAAGACTAAGTACAAGAAAAGTTTGCAAAATATCTCAATAATTATTATTTTATATTGGTAATATATTGAAATGTTGTAAGTATACTGAGTTAAGTAAAATATATTACAATTAATTTCACCTGCTTCCTTTTACTTTAAAATGTGGTCACCAGAAAATTTATTTTTATTGGACAGTCCTGTCCTGATCTGAACAGTAGCTACCAAGTACTGACTGCTTCCACATGCCACGCCCTTTATGTGCATTGTTTCATTTAACACTCGCTGCAGTCCAATGAGGCAGATAATATTTTCAAGTCCATTTTACAGAAGAGGAACTGAAGTTTGGAGAGCTTGAGTGACTACCTCAAAGTCCCTGAGCTAGTGAAGTACCTGGCTGAACTGGAGCTCAGGCTTTGGGGCTCAACGCCAAGTCCCCCGCCTCCGACCACTCCCTAGGGGGCACAACAAGCCCCTTTCAAATAGGGCCCTTGCCCCCTTTTCCTGCCTCCCTCCAGCAATACTAACCCTATTCCTTCTGCCTGGCAGACATCTCTTCCCTCCTCCGGAAGCTCTTCCAGACTCCCTGATGCAACCCCTTCTTCTAAGCCTCCACAACACGAAGTTCTCAGTAGTCACAAGCAGGCCAGAATCCGGACCCAGGTTTGGCAGTTTCCTTGCACAGGGCTACTGCCATCCAGCGCCCGGGACCTTTCCTTTCTCGAGGCACCGCCTGGCAGCTACCCTCCCCCATCGCGTCTCCCCATTCCTGGAGGTGGGGGGAGCGGGGCAGCACAGAGCGCAGCTGCTTCCCGGGCCCCTTCCCTCTACGCCTTCCAGTCCGGCTCGCTGAGCCACCCCCGACATGCCAGGAGACTTGATATCCCAGCTCAGAGCCCCGGGCTGTTGCTATTTCTGCATGACGGAATTCAGCTCGTCCAAATTAGAAGGTGATATTTCATCTCTAATTGGTGAGTTCAAAAGGCCCCTATCGCACTCGGCGGCCTCGGGAATGTATAATTAAACAAGGTGATTTCTGACTCACTGCAGGTCGGGCCTAGCTCCCCGCAAGCGCCCGGGCCGCGGGGCCGACGTAGCCTCCTCCGGCCCGGGCCTCCGCGTTGCAGCCGCCTGGCCCCCGCCCCAGCTCCAGGTGCTCTGGGGAGCAGCCGCCCAGCCCTGAGGCCAGCGATAACATGTGGGCTGCGAACGCCACCCTTGGCCCGGAGAAGCCCGGGCCGGAGCCAGGCCGGGGCACTCCCGCTCTGGGGCCAGGGTCGGCAGAGGAGGGAGCCAGGCTCGGGCCCATGTTTCCCGCTTCTCCCCGGGCCGCCTGCCAGTCGCTCCGGGACCCCGCCGGAGAGCTGGGCCTCCCCGGGAGAGAGGGAGGAGACACACCGCCTCCTTCCCTCTGGGCAGGAATGAGTTAACGTCTGCCCAGCCTGGGAACGCTGCGGAGGCCAGGGGCTCCGGCACGTCTCCTCCGCCTGGACCACAGCCGGAGAAGAAAGAAAAGGGCGCCGCGCGGGCCAGGCAACGGGCGCCCCCGGAGCCGTGCCGCCCCCTGGCGGGCCTTGGGAGGAGAGCCGGCGGCCGGGGCGGGGGCGCCGAAGCCCTGGGCACGCCCCGGAAGATGCTAAGAAGTACTCGCCGGGGAGGAGAGCTGAGCTCCGGCGGAGACGCGTGTGTCCTCCTTGCACTCCGACAGACCCTCATCTCCACCCGCTGCTGCTCCTCCAGACTCCGTTCTGCCCTCCCTCCGGTTGTTACCCATTTCCGCAGTGCAGCCGCTTCCTCCAGCGCCATCTGAGATTTTTCACCATTGCAGGCCGCTCAAAAATTGTTCCCTAATCCTGTGGGTTTTTAACCTCAGAACTTTGTGTCCCTGCCTCTGATGGGGCAGCGAAGGGCACCTTCTGTGTTCCCAGCACCGTGCTAGGTGCTTCATTTCATCCCCAGAACACGAGGTGTACACAGTATCATGCCCATTTTTCAAACGAGGAAATTCCGGCCCAGGAGATGAAGTAACTTTGCCTTAAACAGCAGAGTGGGCCCTGGCAGAGGAGTCTGCTAAGGCCCCTTCTACTGCCCACACTCAACACTGCTGTCAGAGTGAGTTCTGTAAACAGAGAGCTGATGGGGCTCCTCCGCCCTACACAAGTCAAATTCCCCAAGCAAGGCCCTTTCTGACTCAGTCCCTGTCTTGTCTCCACTGCTCTCCCGCTGCAGTGAGAATACGCACTGGGGTCTCTCACTTTCCTTAACGAGTCATGCTCCGGAGTCCAGACTGCAGTTCCTTTATTTGCCCCATGGCTGCCTGACCAACTCTCTCTCTTTCATGACACAGAGAAGCCTGCTACCTGCCCCCTGAGAATTAGCTACCTCATTCTTTCCCAAACAAGACATTAACTTCCTCACTTCCTCACCCCATTATCCGTTGCAAGTGGGGAGATACTTGCAATTCTCACCAGCATTCATTCATTCATTTGTTCCTATTCACCTCCTTTGTGGAGCATCTCCTCTGTGCCAGACCTGAGTCAGGCGCTAGAGATACAGTGGAGACAATCGGCCATAGCCCTGCCCTACTGAAATTCAGAGTCAGAATCCAGCAGGAAGGAGATAAATGGTGATATTAGCACTCGGGGCATGGATGCCAGGAGCCCTCCTATGGGCACATCTTATAGACCAGGGTACCCGGGACCTCCCCGCAAGCCTGGGAAAATAGCTGTTAAAGAGCTCTTAGGTTTACTGAACAGGGATGGGCAGGGAAAGGTGGGGTGCAAGCCAGGCTGATAACTGCCCTGGGACTCTGGGGAGGAGGCCCAACTTTGGCTAATAAAGAGAGAGTCATGGAGCTGAGCCCTCATCCCTGCAAGGGGGTCCTAGGCAGTGAAGAGAATGGAGACCAGAGAGGTGGGATAGACAGCCAAGGAGCTCAGTCACCAGCCAGCCCTGTGCTGGCCACGCTGCTGTCTCACCTATGCTTTCCATGCCTGGAGTTACACTGCCTCAGCTGAGGAAACCAAAGACTGGACAGGCTGAGCAGCTTTCCCAGGGTCACACCATGATGCAGTAGGTCCCTCCTAAGCCCATGGCATATTTGGTAGAGCTGCCTGTCCCCCAGCTTGAGCCAGACCCAGACTCCTACAGGAACAAGCTCCTCTCTCTAAACCCTCTCCCCTCAACTTGAGCCTGACAACCCCAGCCAGGAGCACCTTCTTCCTAAGAGCTGGGAGGCTCCATCCCTACCTGGCACTGCCCACCTGTGTCCCCAGGGCCAGAGGCAGGCTCCATGGGATTTCCGGCCCACCGTTGGGGGAAGGAGGGCTGAACCTCATTAGCAGGGCTTCACTGACCACCATCCTTCTGGGGATGTGGCCTTGGGGCTGACTCCTGGGGCCCACATTCAGTCTGACAGCCTCCCCTCCCACTCTGCTTCTCACCTGGTTGGTAGACAGAAGGCCGAATGCTGGCAGTGGTGACAACCCGGGGCTTGGGCGTAGGGGCAGCTGGGGCCTCGCTGTATGTATGGGCCGCTGGTGCTGGAGAGGTCGCCTTGGCGGGACTGCAGGCAGAGGCCTGGGGCCTGGAACCAAGGAAGGAAGAGTTAGCAGCCAGAAAGACAGCCCCACCCAGGCCCTAGGGCCTGCAGCCATGGCAGGTTCTCTCTCCAGTCTTCAGGAGCCTCTGTGAGGGGGAAGCCTGACAGAGATGATCTTGGACAGCTGCCAGAGGCTGTGAAGGAAAAACTCCAGGGGGTTTTAGAGGGGAGGATGCTGTTCCTTGGGTGCTACAATAAGTTTCAGTGAGTTTGGTAAAAGCAGCAGAGACACCTTGAGAAATACAGCACATTGCTGGTGTCACCGCCTTGGAGAGAGGGAGGAAAGCCACCAGCTGGACAGGAAGATACAGGGAAAACCCTTCACCCCCACCCCCCCACCCCCAAGAGACTGCCAGGGTGGGTCTGGGAACGGAGCTGGCAGAGGCAGGAGGGAGGGAGGAGACGGAGGTGGTTGGAGCTGCCCCACTCCCTCACATTCTGGCCTTCTGGGGCGTCACAGCCTCAGACCACCTGGCCCTCCCCTCCCCTCCTTTCTATTGTTGCTGGAGAGAGCAGCAAAGTCTCAGGTTTCTGGGCAAGAGTGCTCCAGGGAGGGCTCATGAAAAGCCAGGAGACTCGCCCGCAACACACACACACACACACACACACACACACACACACACACACACACACACACACACGTGCTTCTCTTCCATATAGAATTCCTGCTGACCTCTTCCCACTGAGTCAGCTGCCAGGAGGCCTAGAACAGTCTTTTCCTACTTGTGATCCAGGGACCATGGGACCAAAGAGATGGAAAAAAAAGGTATCCCAGTTCACTGCCCTCAGGAAACGGCTGTACTTGGCCTCTCCTCTTGGAGAGCTAAAGGCTCCAAGAACTCCTGCAGTTAAGCAGCCTGTTAAACTTTGTCTGATCCAGTGTTTCCCAATTTCATTTGTCCGTGAAACCCCCCATTTTTTAAAATTTAAAACTAATAAATACCTTACAGAACATGTCCCTGGTCTCTCCCTACATCTTTCAGATCCAAACAGGGACTACATGCCCAGGGCAAATGAGTCTTTGATGGGGTGCTAGAGAAGTGAGCCTCTGGAAATATTCTGCCCCTCACCAGCCCATGGCAACCTGCCTTCCTCCCACCTGTTCCCCATGGGTCCAGGACCTGCGCATAATTCTGGGCAGAGTTATAGGATAAAGATGTACCTTCCTCTCTAGGGCTCTGGGGGCGGGGGGAGGCCCCAAGCTGAGACCCTACTGCCAAGATGGAGAAGGGCCTGCGGTGCTGCCCCAGACAGTGTGGAGGTGGGATGAACCAGACAGCCAGCATCCCAGACATGGGCGGTGTGCAGACTTGCCCTGCCACGTTGCCATGTTTCTGGTTGAGTGAGGCCATTGTCATCCCTCCCTGGGCCTGCCTGTCCTTCTCTCATTAACCTCTGTTAAAACCAGTGGAGTAGGGGCCTCAATGGAAGAGGAAGAGGTAGTGTCTACGGGGTGTCCAGCTTTCATTGCAGTGGGAGAAGGCCAACTCAGTGGGTGTTAGCCAGACTTTCCCGCCAGTGGAGGATGCCTTCCTAGCATCCCAGGAGCTACAGGTTCTGTGTCAGGGTTTGGTGTTGAGGGAGAAAGCAGAGGCTTAAGATATCCAGCAAGAATTCTGAGGCCATGCTCCAATGGAAGCTGGGTGGCCATTTGTCTCCCATTTGCTCCCTCTAGCTCCATTCCAGCCCTTGTGCAAGAAGGAGAGATAGCTGGCTGCGAGTGTGGTCCCCTGAACTCTTCTGCTCCAGCCCGATGCTGGGAGTGCTCGGAGTCCCTCTCCAACCTCCACCCAGGCCTCATCTCTCTTTGCAAGGCAAAGTGAGGGAAGGGTTTGCCCTGTTGAGTGGGTCCCGAGGGCCCCAGAACACAGCGGCCTAGAGTGTGGGGCTGGAGCCTGCCCTTGAGCAAGGCTCCAGCATCTAGATCTCCCCCACCCTGGGGAGGCATCTTCCCACTCAGCGACAGACACTTCTTACCCTCCTCTAAGGCTCTTCTTTGTGCCCTTACTTGAAGAGATTCTGGTGTGCAGAGAGGCACTTGCTAAGTGCCCCCAGGAAGTTGGGATAGAACAGCCCCTGGAGGCCCAGTCAGGCTCACCTTTGAGGCTTAAGTTGGGCTGAGGAAAGGCTGAGTTCAGCACCACCTGGGTCATTGTGCAGCCCTGGGGGTGGGGGTGCAGCCCACAAGCCTGTGGGCCACTCTTTGTCCACCTCAGGCTGCACCAGGGACCTATGCACCCTGACTCTGAAAGGCCATGTCCTTTCCAGCAAAACCTTGGGAGGGGAGTGTGGAAGACTGAGAAAGCTGGCTCTGACCCTATCGCCAACTTGATAGCTCCACGTAGCCCAGAAACAGCTGGGTTTGCCCAGCCTGTTACACTGCCTGGCTGCTCCAGAATGACCTGTCAGCCTGCCCTCTCCATCTACCATCACTTCCTGCACCCCTCTCACACCCCACCCCTGCCTTTGCTGGGTATCCAGGAGGACAGGTTGGAAAGCGGTAACTTGCAATATAGGAGAGCATTTTATGTGCTAGGTGTTTTATGTACAGTTTTTCTATCCCAACCTTATAAAATAGATGTTGCATTAAATGTCTCACCAGATGAGGAAACGGAGATTCAGAAAAGTTCAGTCACTTTCTGAAGGTTATAGATAGTAAGTGGTGGAATAGAGATTTAAATCCCACTGTACCAGGTGCCTTTGGGGTTAGCACGCTTCTCCATCAAGAGAAGAGAGGCTAAGGGATAAGGGCAAGTTAGTCGCTAAATTCTGACCTGCTTTATGTGCCCAGGCCAATGCTCCCTCCTCCATGGAGCCTTCCTTGACTTCCCACAGGGACAACTTTCATTCTCCCTCATTGCAGTTCCAGGAACACAGACTTTCCACATAGTCTCCCTTTGTTGTGTGTGTGTGTGTGTGTGTGTGTGTGTGTGTGTGTGTGTGTGTGTGTCTTTTACCACTCTCACTAGAGCATGAAGGGCAGGGCACACACATCCCTGCCTCTGTCCTCAGCCCTACCATGCACTCCCCTTTACTCTCTGCAGCAAGCCTTGGCTTCCGCAGGGCTCCAGGCTCCTAAGCACCTTGGATGGGCCTTTCTGAGGGCCAGACACAGCTGCCAACAGATGGACCCAGGGTGAGGCCTTTCCTGTCTCCTTTCCCCATGGCCATGGCCAGCACCTGTGGGCCAGTTACCTTGGACTGTCCTCAGCGCTTGAGGCAGGGGCTGCGGCAGAGGCGGTGGCAGCATGGGCAGCGGCTGTGGCCAGGGGTGGCGAGGCTGCGCTGGGAGAGGCAGCAACAGGTGACTGGGCAGAAGCGGGCAGCAGCGGGGTGGCGGCCTGGCTGGTGCACACTGGAGCATGCTCAATAGGGGTGCTGATGAGGCGGGATCGAGAAAGACAACAGGTCAAGGGGATCCCTCTGCATGGGGGTGGTAGCAGCAGCAGAGGCACGCTGGGCAGAAGTCACCATCAGTACTGCAAACAGAGCAGGATCTTCCAGAAGGCATGTCCCCAGGCTCAGGGAAAGAGCCTCCCCAGAACCCCAAGAAAGAAGGGCTCAGACCACAAGGTGGATCACAGTAACATCAAAATTATTCCAAGCCTGGTGAGACCCACCCCATTTTTGTGTATTTCCTAATTTTTCTGTCTGAATATGTATTATAAAAACACAGTGTGGTAGAAAAGTAGATTGAATTATCAACCAGTCCTGTTTTCCTTTTTCTTTCTCTCTTCTCCATTTAGTCAGAGGCACGCATTGCCTTTGAGAAGGTAAGACGAATGAGAAAAGCAGAGGTCAGATATTTGAGAGGGTCAAGAGCTTGGCTCTGAAATGGTGAGAGCCTGGGCTTTGGGATGCGGACTTGGCACTGACAACACATTTGTAAGATGAAAGCTACCATCCCAGGCAGATCAATTTTATCTGGACAAGAAAAGGGCAACGTGGTGTGGGGGATTTGAGAATAGAGGCAGCTGTGCCCCCTTTCTGGGTAAACTCTGGGGAGATGGCAGGATCCCAGAGTCTCCTATGCCCATGGTGAAGAGGCAGGCGGACCCAAAACAGCCCAAAGATCCCCAGGCTATCCTGTGCCCTAGCAGCTATAAAGGTTTCTCATACACCCAAGAGTGACATGGACATGGTCCTGAGTGCCTGCACATTTGAAAGGCCCTGTAATTGGGAATAAAAGAGGTGGCTGCTGTGCCAGTGAGGGCCAGTGTGATCAGACAGGATGGGGTTATCCCCGCAGATGCCAGCACTGGCGGACCGTGATCAAGGACCAAGTGCCCGGATGCCCCACCCTGTCTGCCTTGCTATTAGGTAAGCGCCTCTTCCCCAAAACACTCCAAGCAAAAGAGGAGCATCAGAGCCTGGGTCAATGGCATTAGATTTCTGCCAGCTGTGAAACGGGGCAGAGAATACAAATCAAATGACAGGAAAGCAAAGATATGCACATTCTTTGTTCATCCAGGTCATTGGATTAAAATGTGTACTTGCTACAGCAGCAACAGATTCTGCAGTTCCTGCAAATGAGAATGGCTGTCCCCATGCTATGTAGCCATTGACCTGGCACACTGAGGTACACATCTGCAGTTTCTCACAACTGCCCTCTGATGTGGGTATTAGTGACTCTCTTTAATAAATGAGGGAATGGGGACAGAAAATGGCATGGCTGAAGCTCCTAGAACATACAGGTAGTGACAGCAGGATCTGACTGAGGGGCGTTTGGATTTGAAGCCTTATCCAGTACCTCAAGTGGCCGCTCATGGAGGAAAAAAGAAAACTTCTTATAGTCAGGCAAGTAGAATCTTTCCCCGACAAAAGGTACTATACTTATTTGAAAGAAGTAGAATAATCATCTTCCCTCAGTGAGTGCTTACCATATGCCAGGCCTTGTGCTAACAGCTGGATAAGCATTACTCCATGTGATCCTTTCAACCTTGCTGGGCGATTGGTATCAAGATCCTGATTTTACAGCTGAGGAACCTGAGGTCCAGAGAGACTGAATCTCTGCTAAAACATCACACAGCTGCCAAGTGTCAGAAAAGGGTGTGAGCCCTAATCACTGCAAGCCTTCTCAGACTTTAATATGCAGATGAGTCGCCTGGGTATCTTGTTAAAATGCAGCTTCTGGCTCAGTAGGTCTGGGTGGGGCCAAGAGCCTGCATGCCTAACAAGCTCCTAGGTGATTCTGATGCTGCTGGTCCGTGGACCACACTTTGAGTAACAAGGTGCTACAAGGCCTGTCCCAGACAGAGATGCCAGAGGGCCACGAGTTGTTTACCAAAGCATCACCAAGGTGCTCTCCTCCATCTAGCACAGTGTATGGCAGAGAAAGGCATGAAATAATGTAAAACGGTTGGGGAAGAAGAGAGCTGGGGAACTGGCACAGTTGTGGGTTTATTGCCCTGTGAGAGGGAACACTACTCTTCTCTGTGATTGTGTGGGAAGCTTCCAGGAGGGACAAGGACAGCAACCTTCTCCTAACCAGCCCTTTCCCAGCTTAGCAGTAGTGCAGAGAGATCAGGCAACCCAGTTCTTAGGCCTGCAGCTGTGCCCGGCCCTGGCCTTTCTGTGAGGCCACTCACTCACCCTCCATGAAAGAACCTGGCTTCTGGAAGTTACTCCCACAAAGCAGCTGCCTTAGAGAAGTAACTGCAGTTCATATTGCTGAGCTGGCTGCTAGAGTGTCCTCAGAGCATGGGCAAGTATGGCCTAGGAAGGCTCAGACTGACAGAGGACACCCAGTCTCCGTTATTTGCTTCTCTCTGAACCTGTTGCATGCTTCCAGTGGCTTCTGGGAACTGAGGACACCGCTTAGGACAGGAGTGATGACAATGTCTTGGCTAGAGACAGTATTCTGCAGGACAAATAGGAAGCTGGCTTTGACTATCCCCTTTGCTCCAATTCCGGGTCAGACCAGCTTACCTGCTGCTATCCCCAGACATTGCTCCAAATGAGCTCTGGAATCTGCGGGTGGTGGTGGTGAAGTTGGAGCTGGACGTGGGTCCCCGGAAAACTCATGAGCTACTTAAGGGCCAGGACAAAGGGCATGCACGTGAGCATGCCCTTGGGGCTCATGCTGAGTGGCATCCTATCTATGACCATGGCCTGCAAACACCAAGCAGTCAGGGCCTAGGGGAGGCAGGGGCAGCATGGAAGGGCATCCTGAAGAATCTTATCTAGACCAGTTCCTGCCTGAAGTTTCATGAGCCCCCCAAACCCAAAGAGGGTGTCTCAGAGAGCCAGCATGAAGAGAACTTACTTGGCCCTGGCTTCAGTCCTAAAGACAGAGCTCATGAGATCACTTCGGCCTGGTTCAAGATTCTATAGCTGCCTCCTGCCTCAGTCATAATTCACTTTAAATATCTAAGCAAAATCCAAACCAAACCAACTATATTCAACTGCTCATGGCTGCATGGGGAGGGTGTGGCCATACAAGAAACATAGCCTGGCTACAATCCCCTTTTCCGCCCATCTCTTCCCTCAACCCAGTTGGCATCAAGGTGGAGTGTGCCAACCCTGTGCCCCACTCTGCTGTGGTGGCCCTTGGTTGATGCTTTTATTGATGGCAATTATATGCCTTCTATTGGTGTTGGTGCTGGGTCTTAAGAGTATGTGGTCATTGGGCTCAGGCTGGAACTGTTGGTGATGGGGGAGGTGTTGTGATAGTGTTGGGGGGTGGGTACCATTATTGGGGTGATGGTGCTATTTCTATTAGATACAAGAATGGAATATGAGCATCTCTGTTGGTTGGATGATGACAGAACACCGGTCAGATGGTTGCTCTTAAAACTTTTCCCACTGCCACCCACCTACTTGGTGTTTCATCTTGCAGCCTAATGGCTATTGCTATTGCGGGCCTGACCACGTCACTCTGCAGCAGGGTCGCTGCACTGCACAATTCCAGGGGCCTCATGGACATGTAGTCTATGCAAATGACATGGCTCAGGCACTGTACATAGCAGTTCCCACAGGCTGCATGTGAACGGTGCCCTTCAGTCTTCGCTAGTTCAGCATTGCCTTCAGAATCCAGTCAAAATCCCATAGCCAATATCCCAGCTCTGGACCACTACTAACCAAAACATCCTCTGCCATCCCTCCATTCCAGCCAAAATGATTAGCTCGGGGTTCTGGGACACCTCTTCGTCTCTTCAGCACCTCTGCTCCCTTGACTTAGAGTACATGTCCAGCCTTCCCTAACTGCACATGCCCCAATCCTAACTGTTCTTGGGGATCAGACACACAGATGCTTTCTTCCAGGAAGCCTTTTCTGGTCCTAGTCGGAGTGCTCCCCGTCTCTGGACCTCACCATGTCAGTCACATCCACATTAGCCCTTTCGGATTTCTTTGGCACCCACAGCAGCCGTGCATGGTGACCTGACTAATGCCCATGGACATGGAATGCCGAATGAGGACATCTTCCCTGTTTATTCCAGAGGGTCTGATGCAGACCCCTGGCCTGGGGCCACCTAAGACACTGTATGCAGGGAGTGGAGGTCTGGGGGAGGGGAG